ATAGGCAGTCCCTTTTAAAGTTCAAGACTCTACTCTTAAATAATATAGCTCTCTAGGATTATAGACTGTATATGCTACATTCATAGACTTGGTGGTGCTGTGGTCTCTTTCTTCGAATCCCTTGGTAGTCGACCCTAGGACCTTGTTGCATGGTAAGTGCAGCTCTACCACTGAACTACATTCCTGGTCCCTTTGGTTTCTTTTTTCATGATTCTTTGTCTTAACTTTATTTTTATATGTATGAGTGTTTTGCCAGGATGTATGTAAATGCAACCATGTTGTGCAGTGCCCACAGAGGCCAGAAGAGGGCGTTGGATTCCCTGGAACTACAGTTATGGATGGTTGTTAAATACTATGTGGCTACTGGGAACTGAACCCTGGTCCTCTGTAAGAACAGCCAGTGCTCTTAATTGCTGAGCCATCTCTCCAGTTTCCCTTCACTTTCTTAATTTTACACCATTGCAAACATCAAAAGAAAGGTTTCTCTTCTCTCTCTCTCTCCCACCCTCCCTCCCTCCCTCTTTCCCTGTCTTGAGACATGATCTCTCTAGCCCAGCTGACCTGGAACTCACGATGTAGACCAGACTGACCTCCATCTCACAGAGATCCACTTGCCTCAAGACTCCTGAGTGCTGGGATTAATGGTGTGTGCCAACATGCCCAAGTTTTTGTTATTGTTGTTAATATTCTATTTATTATTTTTATATGATTGTTTTTGCCTGCATGTAAGTGCACCGTGTGCATACAATGCTGACAAAGGCCAGAAGAGGGTATCAGATCACCTGGAACTGGAGTTACAGATGGTTTGTTAGCTGCCATGTGGGTGCTGGAAACCAAACCTGGGTCCTCTGGGAGAACAAAGTGCTATTTACCACTGAGCCATCTCTTCAGTCTCTATTTTTATTAATTTATTTATTAATTTTTTTTTTTGTGGGGGAAAAGGGTGCACCACAGTGCATGTGTGGAGGTCAGAGGACAACTTGCTTCTCTTTCTACCCTGTGGGTCCAGGAATTGAATTCAGGTCATCAGGCTTGGCAACAAGCACTTTTACCCACTGAGCCATCTTGCCTGACCCCTTAAGAAAAGATTTGTGAGCCGGGTGGTGCACGCCTTTAATCCCAGCACTCGGGAGGCAGAGACAGGCAGATCTCTGTGAGTTCAAGGCCAGCCTGGTCTACAGAGTGAGTTCCAGGACAGCTGGGGCTACAGGGAGACCCTGTCTCAAAAAGACCAAAAACAAAAAAAGATGCTTGCTACCAGTCCTGACAACCTGAGTTTGATTCCTGGAACCCACATGGTGGAAGGAGAGAATGGATTCCCCCAAGCTGTCCTCTACAAGTGTGCCATGGCACATATGTACCAACACACATACAAACACCAAACCAAATGTCAGCTTTTTAAATAATAAGAAAAATATTGTTAGGTATAAATAGGACTTTCAGATTGCTGCAAATACAAAGTAGACTAGTTTAATGTCAGATCTTCAAACTGGTGCTGAAATGCCTTAATCGGTGTTATATAATGGACAGCTAAAATCATCTAATGCAAAGATCAGCAGATTTCCCTGTGAACAGTTAGTAAATATTTTAGGCTTTGTGTTTCATAAGTCTGTTAGAGAAATTAAGCTTTGCCACTGTAGTGCAAAGAATATATAAAATACATTGTAGAATAGCCAGAGAATATATGAACAATGTGAATAAAAAAGCCCCATCTTTTCTTAGAAAAACAGTGGACTGTAATTTTCCAGTGAACTTGTTTTAAAAATATGAGTAGGAAGGGACTGGAGAAATGGCTCAGTGGTTAAGAGCACTTGCTGCTCTTCCAGAGGGCCTGGATTCAGTTACCAGCACATACATCAGATCACTTACAAACTTGCCAGTAACTCTAGCTCCAGGGGATCCAGTGCCCTCTTCTGACCTCTGTGGGCACCACACATACATGGCACACAGATAGAGAGACATAAATTTAAAAAATAAAATCTTTTTTAAAAAGTCCTTAAACATGTTTTGAAAGAATGATTTATTGAGTGCACTGCAAGAGGGCAACGAGCTGGGCAGATAGTAGCATAGTGCCTGCATCCAAAATTATGTATGTATGTATGTATGTATGTATGTATGTGTGTGTGTATGTATTTATTTATTTTTTGCGACAGGGTCTCCTTGTAGTGGGTCTGGCCTGGAACTCACAGAAATTGGCCTGCCTCTGCCTCCTGAGTGCTGGGATTAAAGACGTGTGCCACCATGCCCGGCTGGAGGTTTTTAAAAAAATATTTATTTTTATTTTATGTGTATGAGTGTGTTGCCTGCATGTATGTAAGTGCACTGTGGCATGCAGTGCCCATGGAGATCTGAAGAGGGTGTTGGATTTCCTGGAACTGGAGTTACAGATGGTTATTAACCACCATGTGGGTTCTGGGAACTGAACCCAGTTCCTTTGCAAGAGCAGCCAGTGTTCTTAACCACTGAGCCAAGCCAACTCTCCAGCCCCGTGGATGAGTGTTTGCCTGGATGTATGTAAGTAAACTACATTTATGCAAGGCCTGCAGAGAACAGAAGAAGGCATGGGATCCCCTGGAACTGAAGTTAAGAATAGTTTTTACCCACCATGTGGGTACTAGAAACTGAACCAGGGTCCTCTGCAAAAGCAGCAAGTGCTGTTAACCTCTGAGCCATCTCTCCAACTCCATATACTAATTTAGGGCTGGAGAGATGACTCAGCAGTTAAGAGCATTGACTACTCTTGTAGAGGACCAGGGTTCGATTCCCAGCATCCATATGGCAGCTAACAACTATCTGTAACTCCAATTCTCGGAAATCCGACACCCTCTTCTAACCTCCATGGGCTCTGCACAACACAGGTGTACTTACATACATATAGGCAATACACTCATTCACATAAAATAAAGATCGTACATTAAAAAATTGTTTTAGAGCTGAGTGTGGTGGCACACGCCTTTAATCCCAGCACTCGGGAGGCAGAGGCAGGTGAATCACTGTGAGTTCAAGGTCTACATAGTGAGTTCCAGGTCAACTGGGGCTACAGGGAGACCTTGTCTCAAAAAAAAAAAAAAATACTGTTTTAGATCAGTGTTATTGCAGCTGAATTAGCTAAAATGAATGATAAGGAAGGACTTTACAACTGAAAATATTAGTATAATGCATTTTAACATTTTATTATGAAATATAATACAGAAAAGTACATCTAACAGAGATGTACATTTTGACAAGTTATAAAATAAACACCAGTGACACTGCCAGAGCAAGTTAGGAGATAAGAGTATTGCTAGCACCCCAGAGCCTCTTAACATGCTCTCTAACTATAATCTTTCCTTTCTCCCTTAGGGCTAACCACAATCTTGATTTTTATTGTTATTATATTTTGTTTTGTCTTTTTTTTTTTTTTTTTGGTTTTCTGAGACAAGGTCTCTTGTCTTATGTAGCCTAGGCCGGCCTTACACTTACTATGTAACCAAAGATGGCCTTGAACTCCTGATCCTTCCAAGTGCTAGGATTACTCATATGCACTATTACACCTGGCTTTTTTTTGTGTGTGTGTCTTTTTTTGAGACAGGATCTCTCTGTAGCCACAGCTGCCTAAGATTCCCTATGAAGACCAGGCTGGCCTCAAACTCATAGAGATCTGCCTACCTTTGCCTCCTGAATGCTGGGATTAAAGGTATGAGTAACCACACCCACTCTCTTGTTTTTATGTTTTGAAACAGGGTCTTCCTACATAGCATAGGCTGTCCTTCTCCTGAGTGCTTGGATTGCCAGTTTATATTTCCTTACTTTATGGTTTTATCATTTACATGTATACCTCAAAATATACCTTATTTTTACCAGTTTTTAAACTTTATATTGTAAATAAAAATCATACAAAGGAATTTTTGAGTATATAATTAATATTTTAATACTGTATTCATTTTAGCCATTTAAAATATGGCCAAGGTAGATTGAATTATGGGACATTAAGCACTTTCCATCTTGTGTTCTGGAAAGCTATCATATTTTATGTCTCTTCCTGCTTTTTTTTTTCAATTTTTATTTTGCTTTAGTATCAAATCTTTTTAAAATATTTATTATTTTTATTTTATGTGTATGCATGTATTGCCTGTATGTAGGTAAGGGCACCCATGTTGTGCAATGCCCTTGGAGGTCAGAAGAGGCTATCGGATTTCCTGTAACTGGCCCCTGGAACTGGAGTTACGGACAATTGTTAGCTGCCATATGGGTGCTAGGATTTGAACCTGGGTCTTCTGCAAGAACAACCAGTGTTCTTAACCACTGAGCCATCTCTCCAGCCCCTCTTCCTGCTCTTTAACTGAATTTTCTACCCCTGCAGGGGCCTAATGAGAATTATGTTGGTAAAAGATGTAGCACTTGGCTTTACAAACAGACTTCTCAAGGTCTATATGATGTTATATCACCCTATAAATTTTATGGTGATAGGATTGACTTTGTAGTATTTTATTTTTTATTACTTTATAAACTTAAATATTTAAAATTTTAATGTGTGTGTGTGAAAGAGAGAGAGAAAGAGAGAGAGAGAGAGAGAGGTGAATGCATCTCTGTCGGGCAAGTGTGTGAAGGTCAGAGGACAACTTTCAGTTCTTTCCTTCTACCAGAGGTTCCTGATTTAAACTCGGGTCATTAGGTTTACTTGTCGAGCGCTTTTACCTGCTGAATTATTTTGCCCACCCTTTTTTGCATGTTTTGAGACAGGGTCTCTGTAGCCCAGGTTGGCCTGGAACTCATTATCTATCTAGCTTAAGCTGGCCTCAAGCTCATGGCAGTCCTTTCTCAGACTCCTAAATTACTGGGATTATAGGCGTAAGCCACCATGTCTGGGTGACTTGGTTCTATTTTATAAAGATTAATTATAAATATGAATAGTAATGTATACATATGGTAGATACATACATATATTTGTTTCCTACTACAAGAAACAGTTCAATCATCTAAAACATTGAATTTATAGATATAATACTTTTCTTTTTCAGGTAAAACTTCCACCAATGATGGAAATCATAACTGCAGAGCAGCTGATGGAGTATTTAGGTTAGTGTTGAAGACTGGATGATTTTACATATTTTCAAAGATGTGATTTACCTGTGCTATTTATAATCTATTTTTTAAACTTTTATTTATTATTTTTATTCTATGTGTACGAGTGTATTCCCTGCTTGTATGTGAGTGCACCTGTGTCGTGCAATGCCATGGAGGTCAGAAAAGGGCTTCGGATTCCCCTGGAACTGGAGTTAAGGACGGTTCATAGCTGCCATGTGGGTGCTGGGAATGGAACCTGGGTCCTCTGCAAGAGCAGTCAGTGCTCTTAACCACTGAGCCATCTCTAGCCCCGATATATAATCTATTTTAAATTTATAGTTTTTAATTTGTTGATTGAAATTTTTACCAGTATGTTACTGATGTTGGATGTTGCAGCATTCTCCTGCCAGCATTGGAATTCTATAATATAAATAGACTGGGCAAAATCTAGAGAGCAGCACACTAATTCCTGTAAATTGCAGAGTGGGAGATGGTACTTTCTCTCTGACATTGCATGAGGAAAATATCTTTTTTAAACCTATAGACTTGGATTAAAGATGAAGGAGTTGGGTTGAGGTTGTAGCTCAGTGGTAGAGTGCTTGTCTAGCATAGTGAGGTCCTGGGCTCAATCTGTAGAACTGAAAAGCAAAAACCAGAAAGGGGGTATAAGGTACTTCTTATCAAAGTATGATTTATGGACCTGTGTCAGTTTAGGGAATATTTGTTATCAGGAGCCTCTACCAATATAAAACATTTTAGTAGGCACACTTTAGTTCATCTGAAATTCTTTTTTTTTTTTAAATTTTTAAAATTATTTTATGTGTAGCTGGGCATGATGGCACACACCTTTAATCCCAACACGTGGGAAGCAGAGGCAGGTAGATCTCCATGAGTTCAAAGCCAGCCTGATTTACATAGTGAGTTCCAGGCCAGCTGGGGCTACAGGGAGACTGTCTCAAAAAGACCCCCCCCCCCAAAAATTATGTGTATGAGTGTATTGCCTGCATGTATGTAAGTGCAATGCCCATGGAGGTCAGAAGAGGGCATTGGATCCCCTGGAACTGGAGTTACAGAGGGTTGTTAGCTGACATGTGGTTGTTGGGAACCAAACCTGGGTCCTATGCAAGAGTAGCCAGTGCTCTTAACTGCTGAGTCATCTCTCCAGCCCCTCATCTGAAATTCTTTCTTGTTGAAGGAAGCAGTATATTAATTGCATTCTTTGCCAAACTTCTTATTTCAAACCAGTAGTAATTCAAAAAAAGAGTAGCTTGCTGGGCGTGGTGGTGCATGCCTTTAATCCCAGCACTTGGGAGTCAGAGGCAGGCTGATCTCTGTGAGTTCGAGGCCAGCCTGGTCTCCATAGCGAATCCAGGTCAGCTAGGGCTACAGGGAGACCCTGTCTCAAAAAAAAAAAAAAAAAAAAAAGAGTAGCTTATAGATTGGCCACATAGAATTGAACTTGTTTAGAGAGCAGGCATTTATACAGTATAGTATGTCTTTTACAATTTGGCAAACAAAAACTTAATATTACCAAATAAGATATCTTCATCCATATCCTTCCAGTATTTTTAGTGATTAAATTTTTATTTTAAGGAAAAATTCTTGAGGCTAGAGAGATGCTCTGTGGTTAAAAGCACTGGCTGCTCTTGCAGAGGACCTAGGTTCGATTCCCAGTACCCACACGATGGCCAACAACTGTTGGTAACTCCAGTTCCAGACGAATTCGAATCCCTCTTCTTACCTCCATGGGGATTTCATGACTTGGGTGCGCTTACATATGCAGGCAATATACTCATACACATAAAATAAGAATAATAAGTAAAGTATGTTTACAAATTCTTAAACCAGGCATGGTAGCACATGCCTTTAATCCCAGCACTTAGGAGGCAGAGGCAAGTGGATCTCTGTGAGTTCAAGGCTAGCCTGGTCTACATAATGAGTTCCAGTCCAGCTAAGGCTATAAAGAGACCCTGTCTCAAAACAAAGACCCAAAACCAAGAATTATTGGCAGCCAGCACTGGGGATATGGCTCAATTGGTAAAGTGCTTGCTACACATGCAAAAGGACCTGAGTTTGGATCCCCACCACTCATATAAGAAGCCAAGTATAACAACACCTGCCTGTAATCTCTGGAAGGCAGAGACCAGAAGATCCTTGGGACTCAGTGGCTAGCCAGTCTAACCACTTGGTGAGCTCCAGGTTTGATGAGAGATCAGCCTAAAAACATTGGGTGGAAAGTTATTAAGGAAAACACCATACTTCAATCTCTGGCTTCTACATGCCTACACACATACCTACACACATGACTACGTGCACATACCCACATACAGAAAATATTGTCATCCACATGTGATGGTGCATACCAGTAAGTAATCTCAGAACTTGGCAGGCTGAGGGAAGTTTGAGTTTGAGGTCAGCCTAGGCTACAAATGTTGTCAACTGATAGTTTTTTCTCAACTAGCTAACTGCATTTGTGTGTGTGTGTGTGTGTGTGTGTGTGTGTGTGTGTGTGTGGAGAGAGAGAGAGAGATTGATTTCAATGAAGTAATTGAAATTGGAGCTTTTAGAAAGCCTCTCTTGTAATTCATGTCAGTTAATCCCTGCTTACTGGCTAGGCACCTCATAGTTATGAATAAATTGCCTAGCATGTGTGAGGTCCTGGGTTCAATCTGTAGAACTGAAAACCGAAAAACAGAAAGGGGATATAAGGCACTTCTTATCAAAGTATGATTTATGGACCTCTGTCAATTTAGGGAATATTATTTATCAGGAGCCTCTACCAATATAAGACATGTTAGTAGGCACACTTTAGTTCACCTGAAATTCTTTTTTTTTTAATTTTAATTTTTATTATTTATTTTTTTGGTGTTTTTGAGACAGGGTCTCCCTGTAGCTCCAGCTGCCTGGAACTCACTCTGTAGACCAGGCTGGCCTGGAACTCACAGAGGATCTGCCTGCCTCTGCCTCCGAGTGTTGGGATTAAAGGCGTGCACCACCATGCCTGGCTTCTTTTTTTAATTTTTAAAATTATTTTATGTGTAGCCGGGCGTGATGGCACATACTTTTAATCCCAACACTTGGGAAGCAGAGACATAAAATAAGTTAATTAAAAAAATAAAAACAGCCAGGCATGGTGGCGTGCGCCTTTAATTCCAGCACTTGGGAGGCAGAGGTAGGTGGATCTCTGAGTTCAAGGCCAGCCTGGTCTACATAGTGAGTTCTGGTACAGTTGGGGTCCAGGGAGACTCTGTCTCAAAAAGACCAAAAAAATTAAATAAAAAAATAAAAATAAAAACAGGAAGGCAACTGAATATATAAATCTAGAGCCCAGAAGGGTTCAAGATCAACACAGTATCATGGAAATTTCTTAGGATGGAAATGTCCTAAATCTGTGCTCCCAATTTGATAATCAAGAGCCACATGTGGTCCTTTAATTTTAAAAATGTAGCGAATGTGATCAAGGAACTGAGTTTTCATTTTTATTAGTTTTTAGTTTTTATTTAAATTTGTCCAGGTACACATTGCTGTTGTCTGCCGTATTGGTACAGATCTTTCTGTAAGTTTACATTTGTAGACAAGGTATATAAATGGTAGTTAGAATGGGGAGTCCTAAAGGGAATGGAATTAGAAAGAAGAGAAAGAGTGAGTGGACTGAGTCCAAGATAGGCCAGAGATTCGAAGTTGGAGAAGGAAGAAGACTCAGATAAGTAGAAAAGTATGAGAGATTACTTTCCTAGATTCCAAATGGTGACGTATTTCAGTGGACTGGAAGAAATCAGCTGAATTAAGAACTAACGAAAACTAAAAATTGACTGTTGAATTTAACCATAAGAAGATTATAGAGCTGATGTATTAGTGCATGCCTTTAAGCCCAGCACTTGGGAGGCAAAGGCAGATGGATCTCTGTGAGTTTGAGGCCATCCTGGTCTACATAGTGAGTTTCAGGCTAGCTGGGACTACAGGGAGACCCTGTCTCAAAGAATTAATAATTAATTAATTAAAAATTTTAGCTGGGCATGGTGGCGCACGCCTTTAATCCCAGCACTTGGGAGGCAGAGGCAGGTGGATCTTTGTGAGTTCGAGGCCAGCCTGGTCTACATAGTGAGTTCCAGGACAGCTGGGGCTACAAGGAGATCCTGTCTCAAAAAAAAATCGGGGCTGGAGAGATGGCTCAGCGGTTAAGAACACTGGCTGTTCTTGCA